CGAAATATATTTACAAACATAAACATAAGACATATTAACAAACACCACCTTGGGGGTAGGTCACCAAAAATATGCTCCAGGCATTTTTTTTTTCAAAAAAAAACTCTAGTCTGGAGGTGTTTTGGTATAACAGCCCTATATCATTGAATTTTTTTATAGAATTAAAAAAAAAACTCTAGTCTGGAGGTGTTTTGGTATAACAGCCCTATATCATTGAATTTTTTTATAGAATTATTCACATTTTGATACTTGGTTCGTTCCGGAAAACGATACGAGCAATTAACTACTTCAATTTATCTGTTTATACCTGGATGTCAGGTGATGTGGATTCGAAAAAGACAGCCAAACGTATGATGGCATATTCCGAATTTATTTTCGATCGATACGATACGAAAAGCGTTCTTATACATAAAAAAAAAAAAACATTTTTTTTATTATTAAAAATAGCCTGGGGAAAATTTTGGTGACAACCCCCCTGTTTGTTAATATATTTTATGGCTTAAAAAAATCTTCTAAAAAAAGAGTGAAGGGTCCACCACATAGATCGAGATCTCCTACTATGATGTGTTGTTTAGAACAAGCGGAGAAACAGACAGACGCAGACAGCAACTTTGTTTTATACTTTTATACTATGTAATTGTATAGATATAGATTTATTGAAGAAGGCTATATATATATATATATATATATATATATATATATATATATATATAATATATATATATATATATATATATATATATATATAATATATATATATATATATATATATATATAGACTATCTAACATCACTACGACACTTGTGAGTGGAGCGATTACACATCTCTCGTCTTTTGTCGTAGCTTTAAAGGCTGTATTTTGAAGTGCCTATTGACATTTGAATACAACATGTTATTCCTAAATAAAAATTAAAAAAATATCAAAAACAAAATAAGAGGAGACGCGTTTTGTTTTTGCTATAAATATTATTTGCGTGATATCATCAAATTGACCGATTTTTTAGTTTAACATCCAATTTCGCGTTTTTTTAACTAAATCCATACTAATATTATAAATGTGAAAGTGTGTTTGTTTGTTTGTTTCTTTGTTTGTTTGTCCTTCTTTCACGTCGAAACGGAGTGACGAATTGGCGTGATTTTTTGTGTGTAGATAGTTGGAGGGTTGGAGAGTGACATAGGCTACTATTTGCCGCTGGAGTTTACGTAATTCCCACGGAAAAACACTTTATAATACAATCCAAAAAAATATGTTTGATCAGAATTACTTGAAACTTGGTATTAATGCTCCTCAATAAAATTAAATAAAATTTAGAATTTTTTGAAATTCATCCTATAAGAGGGTGATATAAAAGGGTAATAGAGGATTAAAGTTTGTATTGTAGGTTTAGCGTGAGCGAAGCCGCGGGTTATGCTAGTCTATATATAAATATGCAAAGACAAAACAGTTAAGCGCCTTTTCCTCCTCTGTTTGACAACGATTTTTTTTTATTTGTTTAGTAGCTATTTAAGTACGAATATAGAGACGCTATATTTGTTTACTTATCTAGTATAATTTCTAGATTATTTCTATTACGTTTAAATAAGCGGTTTTCGACTGCTAAAAGTTCTTAGTATTAAGTTTTACTTGTTGAGTATGTATTGTATTCAGCCCTTTTTAACTGCTCCCTCCCTCCCTTTTTAACTGTTCCCACTGCTGGGGGTGGGCCTCCCTTCAATACAAGGGGGATCAGGCCATAATCCACCACGCTGGCCAAGTGTGCGCGGAGTTCACATTTCTTTTGAAAACTTGCTAGGTTCTCTCAGACAACGAGGTTTCCACACGATGTTTTCCTTCACCGTAAAACAAGTGGTAATCATGTTGGAAAATGTTTCGCACATGAAAATGTCAGAGGTGCGAGTTCCGGGATTTAAGCCCGCTTCACTCGGTTTCTCAAGCCAGCGCGTTACCACTGGGCTACCACTGCCAGTAGAGTGTCAATTAGAATTGAAACAAAAACCGACTGACTAAAAGCGAACTAAAAATATGAAAACGAAGTGACAAAGGAGTCGGAGACATATGTACCAACCTGTTTTACACTACCTGCGAGTCTTGTTACGTGTATGTATGTCTCCGACTGCATTATACTATTGTCCTTCCTCAACTTGTTCTCATCTTTTTAGATAGGTTTTTACGCAGTCGGGTTTTTGTATTTTTGGAAAAAAACTTTTTAATTTGTAGCTCTTTAGTTCCGCCCAGTAATAGGTACAGTTGGAATTTTAATCAACAATTTCATAGTAATCTTCATTTTGATATCCGTAGGTAGGTTAGAAGAACAAAATTCTAGATTTTTTATCATTTTGATATCGCATTATCAAAACGAATCAAACCACATATGAATCATCTAAATTGACTAAACCGTTTAGTAATTATGAAAGAACATAGAATCGGACATACATACATATAAAATATGTACATATACAAACACATAGCCCTCCTTTGGGATTCGCACTTTGTATGCTGCCAATATTTATTCATATATGAACATATATCATTAATTATTTCTTTTTTATTAACATATTTAAGAATAAAAAAGAAAGCTGACTTTAGGACTATCATCATCCAAAATAACTGCCAATATATTTTTTTACAGGCACATGCATTACTATCACTAAACAATTATTTAAAAAAAAATTGTTCCTTATCATTTAACAAAGTAGGCTAAGTATAATTAGTTAGAATTGTTTGTAGCAATTATTTAATTTAACATAGTTAAGCTTATCTGACATTTTCCTGGACTAAATTAAAACACAAATAGAACTTTAAAATTGTTTCAGGGTTGACATTTAATACTTAAATAATATAATAACTTTTTAATACAAATAAATAGATTTATCCTTCAGCATGTATACAGTGGGGTGCATACATTTTAAAATATAAATGTATGGATAAAATTAAAAATGATATTATTAAGGAAAAGTATGTTCAAAAAATGAATATTTCTACTTATTAAATATTTTATAAAAAATGAGGCGTTATGAATCTTTATTTTTATTTATTAAATAATTAATACATAATGTTTTAAACATAATTTCTATTTTATTTGTGGTTAAAATAAATAACTACATATATTACACACAATTATTTCATATATTTTGTTGTATTTAATGAATTATCTTTTAAAAACACGATGTCATAATATTTTATTATAGCCGACAAAATATATTTTTAATATATAATATACATTTTAATAGATGTATTTACAAAGTTATATATAGTATAACAGAAGAACTTACCAATAACTGAGCGTCGTATTAATACTAAACATCCACAAACTTACGTAAATATTACGACAAAGGAATATTAATGAATTATATACAAGCTCACAACACTAACGAATTATTAATGTGACATAATATTGATTTATAATAACAATGTGCATATATGCGGGGATAACTTGATTTAATTTAAATGTATTTGCACACGCGGTCACATGATTCTCATTGAAATCGTTTATTAAAGAACTCGGGCAAGTAGTTTAACGCTAAACGAAAATATGAATTTATTTTATTTGACGTGATATATACCGTAAATAGACAGTTATGTTACAGTGCTACCATAAAAAATTTGCAAATTGCAAATGTTAAAATTTTTTAATGGCAATCTATACGTATAAAGTAGTAGTTTAAATTCCTATCATTGAAAAGTCGAATAATATATTAACTAATTATTTAAACATGATACAAAATGTATTGTATGTAAAATTTAATTAAGAATCATCGATTTGGTTTATTGTGTGTTATTTTCTAGACTGCGTTTTATTTGTATACTGCATTTTTTATTTTTGAACTATTTTTTTTTATCTGTTTTGTAACCTTGAAAACTGTAGGTAATTGTAGTTCTCAGTGTCACTGGCATTTGGCAGTTGACAGTTGGCACCCTGTGTTTCTTGTTCATGGTCTGTGCCATAGAGTATAATGTATATTGCTCCTACATATATAAGTCTGTGCCCTGTGTTTGTGTTTACATCGTGCTAGAAACTAGAAAAATACATAATATATAATAATTTCTTTTAAATGCGACAGTTTTAAAACACAATTGAGTTAAAAAAAATTTAAGATCATTTTTAAATATCATACTTCGTTAATATACTATATATAATACATACTGTTAAAGGTTGGTAAACAAAAGAAATAACCAAATTAACTGTAATCACAGCCCACAGAATACTTTCTTAGATTTACGGAATAAATGACATTTTATAATGAAAATTACCTATTCGGTCTTATTTGCTGTAAATCATTCGAAAAGTCGGAAACCAAAAATCTAAATACATGAGCTAAAAAATTCGAAAAGGTATTTTTATTCAAAACTAGCGACTCACACTCGCTCAGCTCGGGTCCGTCCCTACTTACGTTTTAATGTTTAGTATAGATAGTCAGAGGCGATATATATTCCCGCAGTAAAAAGCATCCTTTATGTTGACTGAATTTCATCAAAATCTCTCCAGTGGTTTTTCCGTGATGCGATCACAGACAGACAGACAAAAATTCTAAAAATTATAGATTCGGCCTCTGTATCGATAATAATGACTATTCTAATAAGATTTTCCAAAAAATATTTTATGTACAGATTCGACTCGGTTAGAATTTTATCATATATGAATATCTATAAAGATATAGATGTATTCATAGGTCTAATATATTTGATTATTTTCTTTTATTTGATATTTTGTTTTTATCAAAGTTTCTATCTAAATATTCTATCTGGATCTACTTAACTGATTTAGCCGAAATTTGGTAAGAAGATAGTTTGAGACCCCGGAAAGGACATAAGATACTTTTTAACCCGGAAATCACCCCTTAAAGGGGTGAAAATGGGGATGAAAGGTTGTATGACAAACCCGAGCAAAGCGAGGGTGAGTCACTACTATAGTATAAAATGTCTAGTGTAATGATTACTGACTCATGTGACTTAACAAAAAACTGTAAATAATTGATTCCAATCTTTTGTCAGATATATCATGGAAGATTCAGAACTTGACCCATCAGAATTAGGTACCCACAAGTACTGGCAACAGGCATATGCTAAAGAAATAATAAATTTTGAAAAACATGGTGACCCAGGTGACATTTGGTTTGGAGAAGACAGTGCATTACGAGTAATTAAATGGATTTGTAAATGTGGTGTTGAGAAAGACGAACCAATTATTGATTTAGGTATGTAAATCACTATATATGGTCTAAGCCCGGCTTGTTATATAATTTTCAGTGTGACATTTAAAATTGGGAAGCATGTATGGCTGAAGATCAGGAGGTTCTGGGTTTGAATCCTAGCTTTGGCCAAAAACTGACTAGTTATCTCTGCTATGAAATAAAGTTGAGTAAAAGTAAGTTGACACTGTGTAAACTCTATTATTTCAGGATGGACATATTGGATTTGCTAAAGTGTAATTCATATTTAAAAAATTATGGGAATAATGATAAGTATACACATGGAAAATGATAAATAAAAGAAAAAATATATGTGTGTACTTATGTTACACATAAGAAGTTATAGAAAAGAAATATTATATGTAAAATGTATTCAGCCCTTTTTAACATCCCACTGCTGGGCACGTCCCTTCTGGCCAAAAGAAGTATAAGATCAAAAAATATTTGTTGTTTTTAAACTATTAAATTCTAATTCTCTGGAGGTCTTTTTGTATTAATAATTTAATATTATCTCATAAACTATATAACAATCATGTAAACACCTCTTTGTCAGAAATAAAAAAAATCTTAATATCCACCGTAGAATATAAAACATACATATATTTATTATATTGCTTAATTTTACATAATAAATATTAAAAATCAACATGTTTGCATTCAATTTATATTTTGGTGTTGCACTAAAACTATATTTTCAACCGACTTCTTCAAAAAAACTTTTTAACAAAAAAATAAAAACTGACTTCAAAAAAGCACTAAAAAGTAAAAAATAACTGATTGGTAGTTTAAAAAAAAACATACAACTGAATTGGGAACTTCCTCCTTTTTGAGGAAGTCGGTTGAAAAGGAGGAAGTTCTCAATTTGGCTGTTTTTTTATGTTTGTTACCTCAGAACTCCGTCATTTATTAATCGATTTGGACAAGTTTTGTTTTGTTTGAAAGTGTATACTTCCAGATTGGTTCCATTTAAATTTCAAAAAAAAAAATACCATCCCTAAAGGTGGAAAAATAGCTAATGATGAATTTTTAACCTACTTCTAATTCTGATATTGACATGAAACTTTGTGTTTCTATTTCAGTTGATAGTGTAATGGTTCAGTATCGCCGACCTGATCTGATGGTAAGGCCAGAAGGTGCCAGCCGATACAAATCAAAGCACACTGACTTCGAAAATATCTGATTATGTATCTCTGTATAGTAAATGAAAACTCCCAATCAGTTATTTTTTACTTTTTAGTGTTTTGTTTTGAAGTCGGTTTTTATATTATTATTTTTTTCATTTTTATATATATATTTGGTATTTTTTTGACTGATTAATTGTGAAAGATATTAAGAACGTAATACTAAAATTATTATTACTATGTTTTCCTACTATAGTAATTACTTTTACTGTTATTTTTTTTAACTTCAGGTTGTGGTAATGGCTATACATTGATAGAACTGGCGAAAGAAGGTTTTACGAATCTGCTAGGCATCGATTATTGTCAAGAAGCCATATTGTTAGCAGAAAAATATGCAAAAAATGAATTTCCTATAATAAAATTCCAGGTATTCTGTTTTTTTTTTATTAAATTCAATTAATGTAGTGAAAAACAAAAACAAATCTATCCAAGGGAACCGTACATTTTTTCTGGATAAAAAGAAATCTATGTGCTATTTCAGATTAATCTATTTCTGTGCCAAATTTCATCCAGATCCGTTCAGCCGTTTTGGCGTGATCGAGTAACAAACATTCATCCAAACTTTCGCATTTATAATATTTACTAGCAGTACACGTGGCTTCGCTCACGCTAAAACTACAAAAGTAACTTCAAAAAAGGTAGGTTTCATACAAAATTTAATCCCCTATTTTACCTCCTTATAGGACGAATTTTGAAAAATGCTAAAACACGTGTTTTTTTAATTGTATTGAAGAGCATTAATACCAACTTTCAAGTAATTATGATCATGAATATTTTTTTTAGTATTATTATGACCTTTTCCCGTGGGAATGAGAAAATCGGTACTTAAAACCCGCAAAATCTGTAGCTGTAGGGAATTTACTCCCTATCTAAACAAACCTGCCAATAGAAGTTTTCACTTAGAAAATAAAAAAATAAACAATTTCAGGTCTTCGATATAACAGAAGACGATGTGAAAACTTTGAACACCAAATTCAAAGTTGTACATGATAAAGGAACATATGATGCTATCAGTTTAAATCCTGAAAATACAAAACAAAATAGAGAGAAATATATAAGTCAAGTATCCGAGATGTTAAATGAAAATGGTGAGTAAATTTGGTGCAATAAATATATTATACCTGTGTTTAATTTGGTAGCTCAGTAACGCGCTCGCTTGGGAAACCGAATGAAGTGGGTTCAAATCCCGGGTCTCGCTCTGATATTTCGTGTGTGAATCATTTCCAATATGATTACCACTTATCTGACGATGAAGGAAAACATTGTGACATCTGCATGCCTCAGAGAACATAACAAGTGTTCGAAAGACATGCTCAGTAGGGTGGAGCAAAAAAAAATTTTTGTTATTTTCTTAGCTTGGACGTAGAACTTGGAGCTTATAAAAAACAAAATTATTGAAATAAAACAAAATTCTCAACATTTTGAGGTGGCCCACTGATTTTTAAAATAATTAATTTAAATTTTTGGTTTGATTGAAAAATGTTTTTTTTTTACCTGTTCATCATCTTTGAAAACATTCAAGAATTGACGAATATAGACATTTTCTACTCAACTTTCACTGTCGGATTTTTTTTTCCATTCAAACCCAAAATTTAAATTAATTATTTTAAAAATCAGTGAGCCACCTGAAAATGTTGAGTAAACATTGTTTCTTTATAAGCTACGAATTCTACCTCCAAACTAAGAAAAAAAATTTTTTTCGCTCTACCATAATGCTTAGTCCGCCCGCACTTGGCCAGCGTGGACTATAGCCTGATTCCCTCGTATTGAAGGGAGGCCCACCCCCAGCAGTGGGACGTTAAAAAAAGGCTGAATACATTTAATTTATAAGTAATTTTTTAATCCGACTGCAGCCAAGTGAAACTGTATATTTCCCTAAAATTTTCATTAATAATTATGACCGAATTTTAACCACTGGGTGGACATGAGTTCATATAATAAATAAATGTGTCGGAACAAACCACACAGCACCATCTAGTTCCATGGTAAGCTACGAGGCCTGTGTTATGGATACCAGATAGTTGATACACTACACGTACATAACTTTAAAAAAAATCTCATACTTTACAGGTTTCTTCGTCATAACATCGTGTAATTGGACTGATGAGGAGTTACTTCGACATTTTTCTAAAAAGTTTAAATTAAAATGCGTAATACCAACACCTCAATTCAAATTTGGCGGGAAAGTTGGCAGTGTTGTGTCTTCTGTGGTATTTGAAAAAATATAAACAACTAGAAAATCAAAAACAAATCGATCCCATGGGAACCGTACATTTTTCCGGGATAATAAGTAAACTATGTCCTATTCCAGACTATAATCTATCTCTGCCAAATTTCATCCAGATCGGTTCAGCCGTTCTAACGTGATTGAGTAACAAAAATCCAAACATTTAAACTTTCACATTTATAATATTAGTAAGATTACTATTTTGTAACAGTTGATTTAGATTAAAAAACATCTACTAAAATTTCTTTTGTTTTTTTTGTGACTTAATGAGAAATATTGTGACTTCGGCTCTACTCGCATAGGTTATATAACTATGTACCTATATATCCGCTCCTAAAGCTCGTAGCGTGATGCTTAAGATAGACTATACCTCAATGTATAGGGTTTATACCTAAACAAATGATACTAATATTTACTTATTTATAGATTCAATAAATTATTCTTAAAAGGAATTTTCAAATGTTACAGCTAGTGCTAAATATTAAACGCGTATAAATAAACTACTAGACGTTGGTACTACTTACGTTTTAACGTTCAGTATAGTTTTCTCAGAGATATTTTCCAGCAGTAAAAAGTATTGTATACATTGACCCGGATAACCAGCTATCATCATACTAAATTTCGTCAAAATCTATCCAGGGGTGATGCATTCCCAGACAGAGACAAAACTTCTAAAAACCATAGATTCGGATTCTGTATCGATAATAATGACTATTTCAATAAGATTTTCCAAAAAATATTTAATGTACAGATTAGACTCAGAATTTTGTTATATGTATAGATTTAATGCATAAATAAAAAAAAAAGAAAATCAATAGTAATAGTCTTTATTTAAACATTTACATAATATATATTATACACAGATACAATAAAATATTTTGAATTTTCTAATACAACACTAAATACAATAAATAATTTAAATATGACAATTAATTAAATAAGAGATTGGCATTTATTTATTGTTTTTTTAGCCAATTCAAAAAAAACTAAATTCGGTGATTTTGTTTCTTTTTGTACCTTAATTTTCGCCGATTTCAAAGCAGAAAATAAAAAAAGTGACACAATCCACCTTCAAAAATTCTAATGGAATTGAAGGATTTCCATTGAATTTTTTCTTGACAAAAATAATATTATCCAAAAAAAGTAGACAGATAAGTATTTTTTAATTTCCATTATTTAATTTGTTTATTACAAAAAGTAAATGATTGTAAAACTACACAATATTCTGACATAAATAGTTTAAACATGTGCGTATAAAAAGGATATAAATAGAAAAATGTTTTTTTTTTTAATTTATCCAGAAATAGGCCTAAAAATCTGGACGTTTTTGTCCAAACATTCACAAAAAATTACATCTTTTTATATACCATGCCTTTTTTATTATTATTGTTATAAATTACCTAAAACAAATACAATATATATATAATATAATGTTCCTTCAAACCCTCTCATTAGAATAAATTAAATTTTCATGCAAACTTAATCTGTAATTTTAAATAAAACTATCTTTTCTGTATTTTTCACGGATTTATTTTGATTTTTGGTTCCCGACGTGTCGAATTGCGTACAGTTTATTGCTTTATAGCCCACATAGTCACGGGAGAGATTAAGGTTTTAGAGATTAGATGTCTCAAAGGCGGTCATATGCTTGTTAGAGATAGTGCCTACCCATGATTTTACAAAATGATTTCAAAAATGTCACCAAAGTACCTTACAATATTTGTCGATTTTAATTTTAAAGATTTTAAAATATATATTTTTTATAAGATATTAAATATGGCAATATTATTTATTCAATTTTAACTGTTATTTTTTTTAAACTAAGTATTTAGTGTTGCCAATATTATAATATTATGCGTATTAAGCAAAAATACATACAAAATATAAGATAGTTTTATTTAAAATGTCAAATATTCGCGTAAATCTAAGAAAGTATTAATCTGCAATGTTAAACTATAGATAATAGACATAGAGTTTTACCCATTCACATTTTCTATTTCTAATTCCGACAATAGATACCGCTTCCTCCAAACACTAAATCCCGTCGATATAAAACAAGACAATTAATTTACTTAAAGTACCTAATAGTTTGATTCGAATCAGTCAAGCAGTAGTAGAGAGAAACATACACCCAAATCACCCCTAAATATTATTATTATACCTTCCACTTCTATCCATTAAAATAAAAAATAAAGCTGCTAATCACGTTACTAACAACTAAAGAGAATAACTTAACAAAACGATTTCAGAATATATTTTGTTTGCTTAGTAAAGAATTTAAAATAATATATTTAGCATTTATATAATCCGAAAGGTTAAGTTTCCACTTCCATTCAATTTGAATAAATATTATGTTTATTGTAACCTATTTAAAAATAAATTACATAATTAATCGTATTTGTTTACAAGACAATCATCTTTGCCAAAGTTTATTGAAAAAAAAATGGTATAGATAATAAAATAACATATAGTTATATTAACATTACTTTAATACTCCTAGATAATGATATATTTGGTATCTTAATATAGTTTTTTTTACTTTAAGTAACATTTTTAAATAAAAAATGCCGTAAGTTTTTTATACTAAAACCTAAAGGGCCAAAGTTGCCAACCGTCCCGATTTTACCGGGACTGTCCCGATACATGCCGATATATTTTCCTAAATTCGATAATACACACCCCACCCCACCCCCTTGAGTAATCGAGCAATTGTCCCGATTTTTTTTTTTACCCCGAAATGTGAAAATTCTGTAAAGGGTCTGACATAATGTCAGACTATTCATACAATTCCTGCTTATATAATAATCAAGAAAAGTTTTATTTTAATTCAACTAGCTATTAAAACCACCATGGCATTCGTTTTTAGCTCATTAATAGCTAAAACGTTGCTTTCAACGGAACCGTATTACTAAGCATCCGCTGTCCGTCTGTCAGTCTATCATAGGGCTGTATCTCATGAACCATATAGACAGAGAGTTGAAATTATCACAATGTGTGTTTTTGTTGCCGCTATAACAACAAATAATAAAATATCAATATGGCGCACTTCAAAAAGGCTGCACTTTCAAAAAATTAAAAAAAAATGATTATGTTATGGAATCCTTCGAATACGAGTCCGACACGCAATTGAACGATTTTTAATATAATAACTAACTTCTGCGACCACTAACAAATACGTATGACTTGTACTTTATATGAGCGTGTAGAAGAATATGTTAATATATCATGTTTATATCTCAACTCTCAAATCAACCTATTACAATTTAAGCTACGTTTTTAAGTAATAAAAAACTGTATAACCAACATGCAGAAAAACCAACATAAAAAATTATTAACTTTTACAGTTGCCTTAGTGTGTATTTGTTCAAATGACCAATACTTGTACTTTAGATTTTTACTTATATTTTAAAAACAAAGCAGCATTTCTAAGATTAATATACATGGAATATATGTAGATAAAATACATTTTTTCAGCTTTATTGAAGTAAAATGTGTATTACCAATAGAATTGACATTTAAAAGACAATAATTCTGTATTAAAAACTCTTTCCGTAAATTGGTTGTTTGGACAAATAAGCACTTTGACAAGATCTATCTCCCACACCATTATATATAGTATATAAATGCATTTAATTTAATTACAATTATAAATAATAAAAAGCTTAAAAACACATTATCTAACTTGAGAGTGTTTTATCATAATTTAGTTTTTAATTATACAAAAAAGTAACTTGAATACACATTTTATATGTTTTATTTAATACTCAAGTGATAGTTGTTATAGAATAGAGTGTAAAAAAATCAATTCCATTGTTAAAACGTTGACAGAAAGGTGTATAAAATTTAAAGTTCATTGTAGAATACTTAAAAACTTTCTATTATATAAATCAGCACTTCCCAAATGGTGGTCCACGAAACCATAGGGTTTCGTGGAAGGGTCACAGGGGTTCCAAATTCCATCTGACAGTTAAATAAAACGTTGTCAGACATGAAGCCTAATTTACTTAAGTGCTATTAAAAATAAATATGTGAAAAAATTTCATTTGTGACATTATATGGAATGGTTATATTTATGGTACAATAAATATTATTATAAGTATTAATATTTTTCATTTATGATTTGTTCTTTCAAGTCAAACAAGAAAGATTCTAACTACAACACAATCAGTTTAATTATTATCAATATGGGGTTCCTTTGAAGAAAAATATTATGAATTAGGGTGCAGCTGTCAAATAAATATTGGGAACCGCTGATCTACATGATTTATAATCAAATCTTATTTAAAGCCATTACTTAGCCATATGAACTCTTTCAACTAAATTCATCAGATGACAATATTTAACATACATCAAAGTATTCAACGATAGCAGAAACACAGCGAGACAGTATAAAAACACATTAATGTTAATAGTGGTTTCGAAAACCACTAAGTTTAAAGGCTAGATGCGATCACAGTACCTCTCATTGTTGTTGGAATTTTGGTAAATAAGATATCCTAAAACAACAGATATGGCAGTCAGGATAAATGTGAAGAGCTGATAAAGTTTTAACTTATCAACTTGGCGGTGTAATATTTCATAGTTCATTTGAAGATTATTCAAGGCATTTGCGACGGAGTCGGGCTTATCATGCTTGGTTTCTAAATTGCCATTTTTAGGCAAATCTTTCACTGGAAACTGGCATTTTAGTCGATACTCATCAACTTGGCTACCTGTAGAATTGCTCCATATCTCATTTATCTCCTTTGGTGTGAGATCTGTTTTGGGTGTTTGAACAGACATAACTAAAAACATATCTTTCATTTCATTTCGAAGTTGGAAGCCTGGTTGGACTACAATAATTATAGTTTGGGTAGCGCCTTTAGCTAATGTGCCAGAACTTGGTCGAACTCGAAACTTTTCAGGCGAAGTTGTCCTTATCTTAAATGATACAGCACCTTCATCCATGTTAGTTATTGAAAACTGTCCAGATACTTCATCGTTTTCACTTTTAAAGACTATCAAGGAACTGGGGTTAAGTCGCAACATTTCTCCAGGAGAATGGTTGTCTCCTTGCTCTGCGAATGTTACCTTTTTAGGAGTGTGTTCCGAACTGCGATTTTCAGGTACAAATTCAAATTCATAATTATCTTTCCCACCCCAACACACTAATGCTTGCTCAGGAGCTACAAAAGTTTTTAAAGTATCTTTGTTAACGAATTTCATTTTTTCTACTCCCTTAGCTGGCAATAATGACTTGATAACTTTAAAAGCTGCTGACAAAATCCATGGCATTTGATAAATGATGATATAATTCAAAAAATTTGGATAGTAACTTTTAAACAATGAAATTAAATAATTTGTTAATTCCATATCCATATTATTTAAACCGCAACCATCTAAATCAAAAAACAATGTTATTTTGCTGCCATCTTCTTCTCTTTCAATGCGATCGAACCAATAGATAATAATTCGTTTGATTTCTTCGAAATCTTTTGTTCCTTTAATATGCTTTTTAGATTTAACAATAAGTAAAATACAACCATCGACGTCTCTACCATGGGGAAAGAAAGCGCCATCACTGACATAGTCCATTCTAATGTTACTCTCATTAATATCATTTGCACCAGAACTTTTCCTCCAAGTACATATATCCCAAAGCATATCCGCAGCAAGTTTGGGGTCATTATCAGTGTGTTTCATCACTCTTCTCAAATATTTCTCGTCCTTTGCACGTTCTAAGTCCATTGGATGAAAATCATGGTCTGGAGTTTCTTTTAGTTTTGTTTGAAATAAGTTTTTTAAGTCTGCAGTCGTCATATTATGATAAGTTTAAGAATTATCGTGTAATATCGTCAATATGATAAAGGAAATTACCAATCAATGTAATTGTACGGTTAACAATCAACTATCAAATGTTTTGACTTATGACATTTAACTAACATTTAGGTCAAGGATGCGTTCGCAAATAAAATGTTGAATTCAATCATTGTGCCATTTTTGTATTACGTAATTATCTTTTTATTGTTGTAGCGGTTGCTCCTGTAGACCGATTATTCATTTATAGTTTTAATTCCATTTATATATTATTTATAATTATAGTTATAGCTGCTAAATCTCAAAGTTACCAATAAAATTCGCTTGTGTCTTCCTCACAATACGTGACACTGGCAGAATGGTAAATAAAAATGAAAAAGTACCATAAACATTGAGGTGAAGTCGCTCATTAGCGTCTGGCAATCTAGCCGGGCGTGAAGCCAAAAGACACACTGGGAGGTGGTCCACTTCGGTGGGTGGTGTGTCATGCGAGTTGTCCCTGGTACTTCTCTGATAGTAGAGTGAACCGTGAGTGCAATCCCATGGTTGTTGTGGTCTACTTCCACAGACCTGCCTTCGGGGCGTCGTGGTTGAGTGCGTAAGCGATCCTGCGAAGTCCCATTAAGACGGGGGAGGCCCTGTTGTATTTTAGTGGGTAATACTGGCTTTTCTACCTAGTGAGTCCCACTTTTCTCAACATTAAAATTTTTCAACATGATTACCACTTGCCTTACGGTGAAGGAAAACATCGTGAGGAAACCTGCATGTCTGAGAGAACCTAGCAAGTTTTTGAAAGACATGTGAAGTCTGCCAACCCGCACTTGGCCAGCGTGGTGGACTATGGCCTGATCCCCCTCATATTGAAGGGAGGCCCGTGCTCAGCAGTGGGACGTTAAGAAGGGCTGAATACAAAAAGGGTCATGTATTGAGTTGCACATCAGGATTCGGGATGATGGTCTTGACGGTTAAGTTGTCGTACTCAATGACAATGGTTTTATTTAAAGTTCACTGTCGTTGTTTTACATAGATATCTAAAATATAAAATTTTCATGTCACAGTGTTCGTAACAGAACTCCTCCGTAACGGCTTGACTGATTCTTATGAAATTTTGTGTGTATATTCAGTAGGTCTGAGAATAAGCCGTAAACTAATTTTTCATACCCCTAAGTGATAAGGGTGGTCCACCCTAAAAAAAAAAAAAATAATTTTTTATATGATGTTTCGGCATTAAAAATACATACAAACTTAAATTCCCACTAGGGACGAACCCAAGCGGAGCGATGGTGAGTCGCTAGTACCTATATGAATTTTATTGATATACTCAAATACCTATTAAATTTGCACATGAAAAATCAGACATCTATATCCGTAATACTACATTAAACTAAACTAATACCGTAATAAATTAGAATGGAATTTTAGAGCCAGAACTTTTAGTGTTACTAATAAAAGCGAATTTTAGTTTAGCAGTCTTCATATAAAAATTGGCATTAAACTAACTTACGGCATAAGCGAATATTTTATTTAAATAATTTCTTCTTACTTTGCTACTACTATGTCAGCACCAAAAAGGGAAAAATAAAGACTTTTAAAGAAATAAATAAAAACAGACTACAAAAAAAAGCACTAAAAAGTAAAAAAAAATGATTGGTAGTTTTCATTTACTATAAAACATACCTAATCAAATATTTTCGAAGTCGGTGCCAGTCGATACAAAGCAAAGCACACCGACTTCGAAAATATTTTATTAGGCATGTATAGTAAATGGAAACTACCAATCAGTTATTTTTTACTTTTTACTTTTTAGTGTTTTTTTTGAAGTCTGTTTAATATATTTTTTAAAGTTCTTTTTTTTCAATCACTCGAATATTTGACTTTACCCTATAAAATTATACTTAGATCTGCTACTTGCTAGTAAATTTTAATAAAACTACTTTCATCAGACCATTCAAATTCAAACGTTTGCTGTAAAGCATTCGAAACATCGGGAACCAAACATAAAATAAATCCGCGAAAAAATCCGATAAAAACCGTTTCATTTAAAACTAAGCCTAGTTCTAATAACCAAATATTAATGCAAATACATATAAGAAAATATTTTTTTGATGAAACAAAAATACCTTAAAAAAATTACCTTATTTCCAAATAACAACAAGTAGTGCAAGACTTAAATCGTATTTTTTTAATTACTTCATTTATTCAGTAAAAAATATATATATTATAATATAACATGGATAAACAATAAATCTATAAAAATGTTTAACAATATTATGCCTTATTTAATATTTAGCTATGTTTATTTTATTAAAAAAATAAAACAAAATAAATAAAATTAGAAAAACATGATATTGGTGATTTATTTTGCAAGATAAATATTTATCTTACTCTGTAAGTTATAAAAAGTAGGAACTGCCACCAAAAATTCATCAGAAAGAGAAATCTGTAATATTCCTTCGTAAACCCAACAATAATATAATATATTATTTAATAATAATTATTAATTCTACACAAAAATGTATAATTATATAAACTTCACAATTTTTGTGCATTTATTATGATTTAAATCACTTATATAAGGCAATAGTGACCCATTATATACATGCAAATACATTGTACTTTCTTTTTAGATTTACCAAATCAAAGTTAGGGTATCAATAAGGCCCTATTTCTGCCCCAGAATTACGAACAAAATTGTAATATTTTACATTACATATTCTGTAAGTAGACTGTGTGCTTGATAACATGATATATATTTTGAGAGTAAATAAAACTACAATGAACACTACTTGTGAGACAACACCCCCTTGGTCTAACTGGTCTGACATTAATTCCAAAATGAGACATTTTCATGATATATAATGCAGTAATTTTTAAATATATTAAACATTAAAATAAATAAGAAATTGCTTCTTATATGTGCTCTATTTAAAAAAAGGTGAAATGTTACTGAAAATATCACATTTTGAATAAAAATCCCAGTTAGAACAAAGTTTGTCATCTCCCAAGTAGTATTAATTGTAGTTTTTCTTCTCTCATAAATATATAATGTAATCAGGCACACAGTCTACTCTCAGAATAAAAGAAAAGATCAAATCAAATGACATAATTTTTTTCATTATTCGGGGGTGAAAAGAGGCCTTCCTTTATTTAAAATATATGTACACTTAACTATTACAAAGTTAATATGGCAAGAATATACAAGCAGAACTCTCAGGTTCGCCTGCATTCAAAGTACAAAAATCTAACTCTTCATCTCCTTTACAGTGATGTATGTAAGTCTGACTGATTTGTTGACATTTATAATTCTGCTCTGCTCCCTTGGGTAGTAGCATGATGATATATAGCCTATAGCCAACTTCAATAAAGAGGCTGTCTAATGCAAAAAGATTTTTTTAAATCAAATTAGTAGTTCCTGGGATTAGCGCATTCAAACAAACAAACATACTCTACCTCTATATCACCTTCAGGTAAATTCCTAAGAAATGAATTAAATTTCTAAGAAATCTATTGTTAACTGTAACACTAGCGTGTCCGCGGTCATGGAGGGAATATATTAGTATAGATTTATCAATTACAATTTTTATGTTCATAATACACTAAAAACCCCAAAACAGAAGTTAGAAACGTCAGAAATAATGTAATAAATTGATAAAATTTCAATGAATTCAATGTTTTTACGAGTGCCTTATGATTGTTTTGTAAGTTATTTAATTTATATGCGACTGATTCATGGTCTTCATTATCTTGGCCTTTTGAGTTATTGGCATCAGGGTCAGCGTTTGCACATTTTAATCTGTACTCATCTGCTTTAGATCCAGGATTTTTCCAAATTTTACTTAACTCTTTTTGAGGTATATTTGCATTTGGCACTTGCATAGATGCTACTAAGAACCTATCTTTTATAACTGAACTTATTTGAAAACCAGGGCTAACTGTAATTTGTATAGTTTGTGATGCATTATTTAATAAAATGCCCGAACTTGGCTTAACAATATACTTCTCAGGAGCAGTTGTTCTTATTTTAAATGCGACAACACCTTCATCCATATTAGTGATTGTAAGTTGGGCTTCTATATGATCATTTTCTGTTTTAAACATCAATTGTTTATTTGGAATTAACTTAAGCATTTCTCCAGGTGAATGATTCTCATCTTCAACAAAAGTAACATTTTTTGCTGTTTTATCTAAATTCACTCTCTTTTCGGGGATAAATTTAAACACATAATCATCTTTACCGCCCCAACTTACCAAAGCTTGTTCCGGTGCCACTAATTCTTTCAATTTGTCTTTATTGACACTTCTAAGTCGCTCAACTGCTGCAGCGGGAAGTATTCCTTTAACAATTTTAAAACCCGCTGACAATAACCATGGCAACTGAAACACAATTATATAGTTGACGAGCAGTGGGTAGTAACATTTTAATAATGTCACCATATACCTTATAACTTCTATATCCATATTATTCAGACCACAACCATCCATATCATAAAACAATGTAATTTTTTTCCCATCTTCTTCCCTCTCTATGCGCTCTAGCCAGTATATAATAACTTTTTTAACTTCATCAATATTTTTTTCACTTTTAACATAAAGTTTTGATTTCATAATAAATATTAAACAGCTGTCTATATCACGTCCATGAGGAAAGAAAATACCTTCTTTTAAATATTCAATATTAACTGTTTCTTCGCTTATTTCATTGACGTTATTGGTTTTCCGCCACGCCATGATATCGTATAACATACTTACTGCTATTTGTACATTGTTTTGGCAATGTTCGAGAACTCTGTATAAATATTTATCACTTTTCACCCTTTCTAAATCTCGAGGATCAAAAGGCCCCGGCGGTTCCGGTACGCCGGCTTTTATTTTCGCTTCAAATAATTGTCGAATTTCCGCTATTTTAGCCATATTTTTAACTCGTATATATTAAATAATTTTACAATAATAATAAAACAAAAGTTTAATTTTTAAAGTTCAAAAGTTATAAACTGTCACATTTCATAAATCCCAAAATTCAAAAACAAAACTACAGATAATTAAAAAGTTTGAACACGTTCAATTTTAGTCAAAATGTTAAGTTACTAAAAAAGGAAATTAAACCTCCTTTTTTTTAAATTGGAGATTATTTGTTGTCTTATTACACAAGTAATATTAATTTTCAATATTATTTTTATTAAAACACTTGGCTGTAAATAACTGGGTCCCGGTTAAAGTCCCAAAAACAACTGATAATATATTATCAATAGCTTCAATAATCTTGTAATAATCTTATCACGTTTCAATGTGGAAATTTAGAAAAATTGACCAATAAAAGTATTTATAGATTATTTTAGAAGACTTAAAAGATAAGAATTAAGAAATAATAGTAGTATAATCTAATTTCTGGCATCAAAAACTAAATACATAGTCATTATATTTTTGTGGACTATTGACTATTTATTTCATTAGGATTTATTTTACATCCGATCAAAATCAGAATTCTTATCAACAATGAAAAGATTTTAGAAGTACATGAATTATCTCAGATTTTAGGCAATAAAAATAAAAAAATGTCAAGGATTGGAGCAAGATTTTAGCTTTTAATCGTCCTTATTAAATGGCTACGAAAATTATTAAACAATTATCAAATATTTCTTCTATATTTATCAAATATTTAATAAAAATTAATTTATCAAATATTTACGCTATTTCTTTCCGAACTGGTAGTAACTAGTAGAGTCTACTAAGTAGACTCTTGACATTCAGTAAAAAAATGTGATAATTAATAATTTAAACGCTAAAAATCTATGATCTTTCTATAAAGTTATCACGTTCAGTTTTTCTTTTTTATTGGTTAAATATCTTAATAATTATATTAATTTTAATATAACTACTTCTAACACTTACTGAGATATTAATATGAATAATGTGAATTTAATATGACACTCGCACGATACAAAAGATTGCTCAATATTGAAATCAAACCCGCTAAAGGCTTAACAGAAGAACTGTCTTAGATAACAAGAGATCAAATTAAATCAAAATTAACTTTATTCCATTAGACTTACAAGCACTTCTGAATCGTTATTTTAAGGGGTTCAAACATAATATTTTTATTCAAGTTTTCATTATCCACACGCCGCCATTTAAATTTTTTTTCAAAGTAACCCACTATGAAACTGGTTAGTATGAAAAAAGGACACTTAAACCATACATCACACACAGTATACTAGTACAGATGCCTCATCCCATACAAAAAAATTGGACAGCGCTAATTCGGGCTACTTTTGTTTACTTGAATGGATAATAGATGTCGTTGATAGGCAAATAGGTAAACGAAAAGTTGTTTTATTTTATAAATATATGCAATCTAACGTATCGTTAATATCGTAAAATTCATCCTGCATTCGAAATAAAAAAAATTGAGTTTAACAAATTTTAACCGTAATAAAAATAGATAAAAAATAAAAGCGCCATCTGTGAATATACACAATAAACTCATCATCTGATTGTTGATACATATTTGAATAATCAATAAAACTACGCAAATATGATTTACGAGCGTATTTCGTTTCCCTTCACTTGGAATATTTATTAAAACAATAATACACCTTTTTGAGATCTGTTTTTTATCATTTGTTAATTTAACACAACTAATAAAAAATCCGTACATGTAACGTCATCTATTGACATTTATTTGAACTAATTTTTCTTTGGCTTTTAAGCCACTTTGCTATACAAATAACAACCAAAAAATATCAGAATTATATGAAAAATTAAAGCGATATATTTCCACACATTATGTATTGAACACAACCAGTTCATTTTCAATTATTGCCATTGTTCATATTGTCTTTTCCTTTAAAAGCCATTTTATTAAAGGGACAGCTGCTATTGAAATGTTTTTTTTTCTTACCAAAAAGAATTATTTGCATTATTTATAGGCTCCAAGTCAACAAGGTACGAGCACAATGGTCACTCTGAGTTTACTCGTGAAATATTGGTATATCTTTATTTGTATTCAGCCCTTTTTAACATCCCACAGCTGGGGGTGGGCCTCCCTTCAATACGAGGGGATCAGGTCTTTTTTTTCATTTATAGATAATTTATTTACATTAGATAAAATTTTCAATTAAAAAATACAATCTTTATATTTAAGTAATATTTTTATTCTTTATACATTTTTAATTTAATCAATTTATAATAACAGATTTTATATAAACTATTTAATTTATTAATACTAAAGTTGCCCAGCCTCAAAAATTATAATGGAAATGAACTTATGAACGGTGACCCAAGTCCAAAAAACATAATTAAATCCCTTAAAACTTATTATAATATATAGCATAATAAAAACAAAAGAAAATTCATATTAACCTGTTTCCTTCATCCTACAAAATTTCACCAAAATCTATCCAGTGGTTTTCTCATGATGCGTTCCCAGACAGATAGACAGACAAAAATGCTAAAAACTATACATTCGGCCTCTGTCTCGATAATAATAGTCATTATCATTATTACAATAAGATTATCCAAAAAATATTTAGTGTACATATTCGACACAATTAGAATTTTATTATATGTATGTGTATAAAATTAATCGATAAGATATATATAGTAAAAAGAAAAGCTTTAATGCAGGCTTACACTTTTATTTCTGATGCTGGAACGACCTTGCGAGAATATTTAAGACACATATAAATCAAGCGTGTATAGTGTAAGTGCATTAAGCATTGAGTCACTCCACTTAGATAAGAAATGAACAAAAGAAATTTAATATTCTCATTAACCTGTTTTCTTGTGAAATTTAATATTATATTTTAATATAATAAATATTTTTTTCTTTTTTGTCTAATAGAAGAACAGCATTTGGACTTCATAGTAATTCCCCTACCTAATCTATCAGATAAAAACAAAAACCTAATATATACACACATACAAACATACACCCAAAGCAAATATATTCTGATGGTCCCACAATCACTTACAGTCGTGATGCTACATATTCAGGCTGAAAAGAAAAAATTTTTTTTTTTTAACTAGGCACATTTCTTTCAAACTCACTTTAAATATATTTTTTTTTTCTATATTCTGTACTTTAAACATAAATATTCTAGTTAGTGTAAGACCTGGGAATTTTCTAAGAGACATAGCATTATTGCATCGGGTTCTCCAAAAAATATGTTTATAATAAAAACTGATGTTTATTATAAAACAAATTTTACATGGGTGAAGCATGGGTACTGCTAGTTAAAAATAAGACTTAACTGAAGGATGGACAGATACATAGCTAGACACACAAATGATTCCAAGGGAAACCTTTTTTACATGAAATGTATATAACTTTAAAAAAAAAACTATACTAATATTGTAAAGACTATGAGTTTAGTTTATTTAACATATACTAACTTCAAGAACAATCACTCCGATAGTGACAGATTAATATAACTGGAAACTAGAATAATATAAGAATCATATATTTTTATATATTCATAGAATTATTTTGCACTTACCGAGACAAACCAATAAGAATTTTTCATAAAAACCATTTTTCCGATCATTCCCATTTTGGACTCTGGGGCTATTGTATGTAAGTGTAAGTGCCTTACACTCCTGAATGGGGGCCAGTGGTAGCCGAACCTTGCATCCTCAGCTGACAAGCTATTTTGCTGTAGTAGATTTTTTGCAACTGATAACATTTTCTCAACTAAAACATATAATGTTTGTTAGAATTTAGTAACTAGTTACCATTATTTAAATGAATCTCTTGATGTAGCAATCAGAAATGGTCACTCAAAAGGATATTTTTTATATTATTATTCTAAGCTGCAATATCGACGAGTGGTACAGGCTGCTATTGATTTATTTATTTATGTACCATAAAATAAATGTTATACAAAATAAAGTAATAGAATGTTGATAAAAGATAACTTATCTCTTTTATATATTATTATTCGTTTAGGTACAGTACAGCACTAAATGGTATAAACTTAATAAAATGAATCAACTAAATATTATAATTACACAAAAATAAATATATTATTAATAATGGTATATCAAGTGAATTTTAGTAAAGTAAGTTATTAAAAACGTGTGGAGAGTTATAGTCTGAGAGAGCTCGCTTAAACAAAATAAGGCTCACCAAGTTCTTTATCACTAGGTGTTAAAGTTTTAGCATCTTCAATATGACGCTTTGGGACAGTGAGAATATGATAATCACTCGCAGGTTTTATATCTCGAAAAACACAAACTTCGTCATCTTCGTATAATATTTCGGTATTTTCTAACTTATTAACTATATCACAAAAGACACAGTTTGAGTTTTCAGCGCTCATTTTATAGTAAAATTTCGGAAAACCAACTGTCAAAATGGCTTGAAATCAGTGTTGCCAACACGGTGTCAGGTTTTGGGGCTAAATGGAGTTCTAAAAAGGGCTAGATGGGGGCTAGATTTGGCCACGGAGGATCTCCTTCTAAGCTCCGTGACTTGGCCAAAAAAATTAAAATAGGAAAAGTTCGTTTTTTTATATAAAATAAGTAATTTTTTAATAATCGTTTACTTAATATTAACCAAAAAATTAAAAAAATCAACTTTTTTAATTAAAAATACACCTTAAAACTCAATCTCCTTGTTGCGATGTGTTGCATCACAATTAAACACTGAACAAGACACCATGGCTCGTAATTATAAAATTGAATATTTTAATACAAAAATTTACAAAACTAATTTTGAACAAAACTGATCGGGCCTCTTAGCCGCGAAAAACACGGCACACTGTCACCTTGTGTCGCTATCTCTTTTTCACTCGCGGCAGTGAATGCTGATTAAAACCTTTCGCTCGCACACTTCAGCTGTCTGTGTGAGCGAGCGAAAAGCGAGCGAAACGCATACTAGGTCTGTGCTACCACCTATCAGTGTTTCTACGATTTATGTAAGAGGAATAGAGACAGGTAGTCTGACTTGACGTGACGTTGTGTGTTGCCTGATTAGCTTAAGTGCGTTTATTTAATGCTTTGTTATGTTTAAATTTCTTTTTCATTGTATCGCATGATTTTTTTTAAATTTGTACTGTGTGCCAGAATAAAGTTTTCTTACACGGTTTCGGGGCTAGAAATAGGGCTAGGGGCTAAATCATCATTTTAAGGGCTGAATAAGCCAAAAAAGGGCTAGATCTAGCCCCAAAAGGGCTAAGTTGACATCACTGCTTGAAATTTGACATTTTGGAATACTTTGAAGGCTAATGTTGGTAAACATACAGCCATGTCTTATGTAATTTTTGCGGTTAAAGGTCTTGGCTATTTATATTATGTAATTTTTATAATTAAAATAAAACTTAGTTTTAAATAGCAAATAATTTACAAATGAGGATTTATTCTTTAGAATTTACATAAAGCCTACCATAATTCACACTACAATATTACTTCACTTTAAAATGTTACTTTTTGTGAAGACAAGGCAATAAATTCATATCACTAATCGATAAGATATATAGGAAAAGAAAAACTTTAATTCTAGCTTACGCTTTAACTTTTAATGCTAAATTCAGAATGCATGACCTTGGATAAATATTTAATAATTTAGCCAAGTATCAAAGCGTACATTGTTTCAGTACATTTAGTCATTAGAATTAGTACATTTAAACATCTACTTACGTTTTAACGTTTAGTATAGACTTCTCAGAAATGAAATGTTTTCCCGTAGTAAATCCTATCCTATCCTATCCTATATAAGTATCCTAAATGTTGACCCGGATGACCAGCCAGGTTATCTGAATCAACATATAGGATACTTTTTACTACGGGAAAATATCTCATCTCTGAGGAATTTAAACTAAACGTTAAACTATAAAATGACAGTTCTCTTTAAAATATTTCAAAACAAAATAAATATGTACCTCCAAATTGGCATTGTTGGAGATATTTATACCTATATTTATAATTTATATGTATCAACATATATTTTCTTCACTGGCCACAATAATTATTAATTAATTTAAATAGACTTTTACAAACACTTTTGAATTTATACATTTTTTAATAAATGTCAGTATTTCTGTCCGTGACAAATCTACCACCAGCTTCGAAAGCAGTTCTGCTGAGAAGAGCCAAAAAGAGACTCATCTCTTTAAAAACATTGAGTTACAAAATCAATAACAAATTACAGTATTTTCAATCAATTCATACCTAAACAGGTGAGAATGACATCTCATCAAAAGCGCGGGATAAATGTTCAAATTCGCGCTCTTTTTACTTTTTTTTTAATACGAGTACATTCTTAACGGCGAAGGTTATATAAACAAATGCACGATATAATTATTATAAGTTAATATATGCAAAGGCAGTGGTAGCCCAGTAGTAACGCGCTCGCTTGGGAAACCGAGTGAAGCGGGTTCAATTCCCGGGTCTCACATCTGTGATATTTCCATGTGCGAATCACTTCTAACGTGATTACTTCGTGCTTTGCAGCGAAGGAAAACGTCGTAAGGAAACCTGAATGTCTAAAAGAACCTAGCAAGTTGTCAAAAGTTATGTAAAGTCCGCTAAACCGCACTTGGCCAGTTTGGTAAACGGTAGACCACGGCGTGATCCCCCTCGTATTGAAGGAAGGCCCGTGCCCAGCAGTGGGACGTTAAAAAGGGCTGAATACAAGTAAATATATGATTTTTTCATAAAAACGCTAATATATTATATATATAAATATATAATTATATAAAAATATCATCCTTATACTAGCAAGCAATTGTAAATTGAAATAAAAAACTTAAACCGGAAAGAACACAACAAACAATAATGTGTCAAACGAAAGCTTGTAAAAACTTTTTTGTAATTTAAAAGCTCGTAAATTATCATGTAACTGATTCAACATGGCACGTGCGGTGTCGGATGACGACTAATGGCTTAGCACGAGGTGTTAATTATGCGGACAGATAAAGGACTTAACAAAAAATTGTGTATTTTTGTGAAACTTTAGAATTTACCCTCGGTACGGGGATTTTGTTCACAATTTCATGGGTTTTAATTTTTTTTGCGGATCCTTAAATATTTTTTTTAAATAAAATTAGCCTAACAAAGTTACTCCTTATAACATCAGCTATCTGCCAGTGAAGGTCCCGTCAAAATCGGTCCAGCCGTTTTGGATATTAGCCTGAACAAACAGACAGACAGATTGTTAAAAAAAATATGTACATTTGTTATAAGTACTGTATATCATTTCATTTGCGTTTAGTTAAAAGCTGTTATTTTGACATTACACACAGACACATCAATTTTATTTATTTGTATTTAGATTCGTCGCAAACGCAGCGTTTTTCGGGGGGCACGGAGTGCCCCCGCCAAGTCGAGCAAAAAAGGGCACGACAGTACCATCCTTTTCTCGAAGCGATTCAGAGCATTTTCCACCCCCCCATAACTTCGTTATGGATAAAGCTAGAAGCCTGAATTTTCAGTGACTAAAAGAACATAATAAAACTAGGCATATTTCCAAATTACATTCAATTTGAACCTGTAGTTTAAGAACTGTTGCAGATCAAAATTCGTTAATATCGTCACTCACACACTCACTCACTCACTCACCGATCATCAAAATTCTAAGGTACTTCTAGCAGACATAGGAGCTTCAAATTTTGAACACAATTAGTGTTTAGCCTATAACGGAAGGAAAAACTCAAACATCATGCAATTTCAATCCTGTTTTCGAGATATACAAACTGCATAAGTAACTTTGTATTCCTATACAAATAGATATGCGATATATGGGATTGCAAAGTTATTTTTGCAGTTCATACATATCATTTTTCGTCACTTAAACTACCCAAATGTATAGCAGGGTAAATAGTGGATATACTGTAAGTGTTAGCGACGACTAAAATGTAATTATCAATATTGTAAAGAGTTTTAAGAAATAATATATTTAATATATAAATTAAAACTTATATGTATAAAAGATCTTAAATATAAAAAAAATATACAAGTAATCGAACACTCGTGTGTTCCGTAGCGAGAGTCGCCCGGGGGAATTCGGGTGGTATCCGTAATAGGATTTCCCAACTATAAAAAAAAGTACAGAGCCCTCGGAGCTTTAGTTTGTCTTCTACTTGACTAATAAATACAATATGTATTTATCAATATTTAGTTTAGTCATGTTAAAAAAACAGGAATAACTCATATATTATTTTATTAACTTAAATATCCAACTTAAAATATATCTATTTCAGAGTTCCGTTTGTTATCACTCAGTATTTAATTTGTTAGTCAATTCCTCCACTTTAACGACATCAAGGAACGCTAGAAGGTTTAGGTATTTTTTAAAATAATAGGTCACAATAAAATAGCACATAATTTAAATATTTTGATATAAATAAACTTCATCATAGCTTGCCTTAATTTGTGCCGTTATGTCAAATATAAATTTCGTTTAAAAATCATAAAATATTTTAATTAAATTTACACTATTTTTTCCTTACATTATTTAAATTAAATATTATTTTTTCATTTCCCGATATCTTACTTTTATTTTTTTCACCTCATTCATATATACTTATAAAATTTATAATTAATGGTAAATTAATTATACAATAGTTGCACTGTAAAAGGGGGTTAGGTTAGTGTTTTACCTGTAGGTATGTATGTTTGTACGTCCGATCCTATGTTCCCTCGTAATTACTAACCTAATTTCGATTGGTCTATTTATTAATGTTTATATTTGCAATTATATGTATTAGAAAAGTATTTTTAAACGCGAAAATAATATTTTAAGCTTTTTTAGTAGCTGTATACATTTTTATGCATATACAAATGGGTACATAAATGTAATGTGAAGCGTGTCTAGTTTATACCTACTAATATTCGATTACTGTTATTTATAATGAATTGATTAAAATATATACCTAATTAAGAAACAACTTGACGATTACTTACTTTTGAAACAAAGCTCGTACATTTTCTTTTACAAAGTATGATGTTGATATGAATTAGAAAACCTTCTCAACATCTCATTGCTCTTAATTGTACCCACCTATTAGAACATGGAATATAGAGGTCATGAAATATCAATCTCTTCGAAAATTACTTTTAAAATGGAATGGAATACAACTTTCGGGATTTAACTACGATGCTGCAGATAGACACATAAATCTACACATCTTATTAAACTTATGTAAGTCGTAATATCAGTATCGGGGTAGGTATTTAGGGTCACCCCCCCAACGTGCGTTCACCTTGTCGTGGTGGGGGGGCTCAGTAGTGTACTCGCGAAGCCAAGAAACGCACAGGAAGGTGGCCCGCTTCGGTGGGCGGTGGGAGGCGGCCTTCTTCGGAGGGTGGTGTACCATGCGGG